CATTTAAAATGTAAATTTGTACTTCAGGCCAAAAATACCTATACAAACTAAACTTGAAAACACAAAGATAAATGCTTTGGAACAGAAAACGATTAACACTTAGACAAAAATACATAATAGGTCCGTTACAATATGCAAATTTGAGGGCACAAGTAAAGCAAAACAAGAACAAAATTCTAGGTTAAACTCAAAAAAAAGATAATATYAAATAAAACGTTATCCCAACTATTGAGGAAACTTGTCACAAAGACTCCTTATCTAATAGTAGAGAGTTAGTTATAGAATTTCATATTATTTTAAAGATTGTCCAATACAATAATGACTTATAAAATAAATTACTTATCARCTATAAAGATCCTCCAAGTCCGMTTCTTTGGTTATTTTGACAGCCTTTTCTCCTTTCCTTTTCCTGACAAAGATTTTGCCGTCATTTGTCCACGTAGAGTACCAATGGTTCTGTTTTGCTCTTTTTCTTGTCTGTGCGTAAAGGATCTTGCGGACTGTGGTTAAATTTTCGTTTATAAAGATTCTCTCGGCGCCATTTAATTTCTCTTCATCTTTCYTGTAATATKTCAATTTTCTTCTYGCTTCGTAAATGTTTCTTTTGTCGTCGTAATTCTGGAATCTGACAATAACAGGTCTTGGTTTAAATTTAGATTCCAGGCGGTGTACTATGTCGATATCGCCATATTCGAAGCTCTCCACGCCGATAGCCTTAGCTAGGTCTTCCACTATAATATCAAGATCTTCGTTTTTCTTCTCCGGTATTCCATGAATTTCTAGGTTGAATTTACGCGTGTACTGTTCCAGATCATCTAGGGCTTGCTCTAGTGCACTGATTTGATTTGATTGACTTTTAACTGACTCGCCTTGGTCCTTTACCTCGCTTCTTAAAGTAACGTTCTCTGCCTTAAGTGCTTCAATATCTTTGTCATGCCACTCTGCTGTTTTCTTTAACTCTTCAAAGCCTTCTTTAAGATAGGAGTTTTCTTCTCTTATTTTTGACATATCGCTTTTCATGTCCAGTAACAGTTCATAGATGATTTTGAGGCTTGGAGCCCCTGCTTCGTCTTGCTCCTTATTGTCTTTATCGACCTTTCGACTTTTATGCAGAGGTGATACTTCCTGAGACGAACTTGAGGACATTTCGTCTCTACTACGAATTCTACTCATAAAACGTTTCTAATTATATCCTCAATATCCCTTGAAACTTAACATTTGAGTTGTATAACAACCTAGAAAGACCACACCGACTACACACGTCCGGCGGCCATGATGGGCTATTGACTTGCCGAGAATGATTTATCTAATCTCGAAGTTTTTATTTACGATCTACAGTCGAATAAATTAAACTCCGCACAAACTAAAACTTTTGTGTTTCGCCACCAAAGCGTTGAATTCGTATGAAAATTTGCATACACACTATTTAGACGTATATTTAAGATATACTGTAAGAAAAGCTCTTTAGAAAAAA